CTCTGGTCTCTCTCTGGTCTCTCTCAAGTCTCTCTGGTCTCTCTCTGGTCTCTCTGGTCTCTCTCAAGTCTCTCTGGTCTCTCTCTGGTCTCTCTCTGGTCTCTCTCTGGTTTCTCTGGTCTCTCTCTGGTCTCTCTGGTCTCTCTCTGGTCTCTCTCTGGTCTCTCTCAAGTCTCTCTGGTCTCTCTCTGGTCTCTCTGGTCTCTCTCTGGTCTATCTCAAGTCTCTCTGGTCTCTCTCAAGTCTCTCTGGTCTCTTTCTGGTCTCTCTGGTCTCTCTCTGGTCTCTCTGGTCTCTCTTAAGTCTCTCAGGTCTCTCTCTGGTCTCTCTGGTCTCTCTCTGGTCTCTCTCAAGTCTCTCTGGTCTCTCATTGGTCTTTCTTGTCTCTCTCTGGTCTCTCTCTTGTCTCTCTCCGGTCTCTCTGGTCTCTCTCTTGTCTCTCTGGTCTGTCCTCTGGTCTCTCTCTGGTCTCTCTGGTCTCTTTCTGGTCTCTCTCAAGTCTCTCTCAAGTCTCTCTGGTCTCTCTCTGGTCTCTCTGGTCTCTCTCAAGTCTCGCTGGTCTCTCTCTGGTCTCTCTGGTCTCTCTCTGGCCTCTCTCTGGTTTCTCTGGTCTCTCTCTGGTCTCTCTGGTCTCTCTCTGGTCTCTCTCTTGTCTCTCTCTGGTCTCTCTGGTCTCTCTCTGGTCTCTCTCTGGTCTCTCTCCGGTCTCTCTGGTCTCGCTGGTCTCTCTCTGGTCTCTCTGGTCTCTCTCTGGTCACTCTGGTCTCTCTCTGGTCTCTTTCTGGTCTCTCTCAAGTCTCTCTCTCTGGTCTTTCTCTGGTCTCTCTCTGGTCTCTCTGGTCTCTCTGGTCTCTTTCTGGTCTCTCTCTGGTCTCTCTGGTCTCTCTGGTCTCTCTCTGGTCTCTCTCTGGTCTCTCTGGTCTCTCTTCGGTCTCTCTGGTCTCTCTGGTCTCTCTCTGGTCTCTTTCTGGTCTCTCTCAAGTCTCTCTCTCTGGTCTTTCTCTGGTCTCTCTCTGGTCTCTCTGGTCTCTCTGGTCTCTCTGGTCTCTCTGGTCTCTCTCTGGTCTCTCTCTGGTCTCTCTGGTCTCTCTGGTCTCTCTCTGGTCTCTCTCTGGTCTCTCTCTGGTCTCTCTGGTCTCCCTCTGGTCTCTCTCTGGTCTCTCTGGTCTCTCTCCGGTCTCTCTGGTCTCTCTCTGGTCTCTCTGGGCTCTCTCTTTTCTCTCTGGTCTCTCTCTGGTCTCTCTCTGGTTTCTCTGGTCTCTCTCTGGTCTCTCTGGTCTCTCTCTGGTCTCTCTCTGGTCTCTCTCAAGTCTCTCTGGTCTCTCTCTGGTCTCTCTCAAGTCTCTCTGGTCTCTTTCTGGTCTCTCTGGTCTCTCTCTGGTCTCTCTGGTCTCTCTCAAGTCTCTCAGGTCTCTCTCTGGTCTCTCTGGTCTCTCTCTGGTCTCTCTGGTCTCTCTCTGGTCTCTCTCAAGTCTCTCTCAAGTCTCTCTGGTCTCTCATTGGTCTTTCTTGTCTCTCTCTGGTCTCTCTCTTGTCTCTCTCTGGTCTCTCCGGTCTCTCTGGTCTCTCTCTTGTCTCTCTTGTCTCTCTGGTCTCTCTCTGGTCTCTCTCCGGTCTCTCTGGTCTCTCTCTTGTCTCTCTGGTCTGTCCTCTGGTCTCTCTCTGGTCTCTTTCTGGTCTCTCTCAAGTCTCTCTCAAGTCTCTCTGGTCTCTCTCTGGTCTCTCTGGTCTCTCTCTGGTCTCTCTCAAGTCTCGCTGGTCTCTCTCTGGTTTCTCTGGTCTCTCTCTGGTCTCTCTGGTCTCTCTCTGGTCTCTCTCTGGTCTCTCTCCGGTCTCTCTGGTCTCTCTGGTCTCTCTCTGGTCTCTCTGGTCTCTCTCTGGTCTCTCTCTGGTCTCTTTCTGGTCTCTCTCAAGTCTCTCTCTCTGGTCTTTCTCTGGTCTCTCTCTGGTCTCTCTGGTCTCTCTGGTCTCTTTCTGGTCTCTCTCTGGTCTCTCTGGTCTCTCTGGTCTCTCTGGTCTCTCTCTGGTCTCTCTGGTCTGTCCTCTGGTCTCTCTCTGGTCTCTCTGGTCTCTCTCCGGTCTCTCTGGTCTCTCTGGTCTCTCTCTGGTCTCTCTGGTCTCTCTCTGGTCTCTCTGGTCTCTCTCTGGTCTCTCTCTGGTCTCTTTCTGGTCTCTCTCAAGTCTCTCTCAAGTCTTTCTGGTCTCTCTCTGGTCTCTCTGGTCTCTCTCTGGTCTCTCTCAAGTCTCTCTGGTCTCTCTCTGGTCTCTCTCTGGTCTCTCTGGTCTCTCTCAAGTCTCTCTGGTCTCTCTATGGTCTCTCTGGTCTCTCTCTGGTTTCTCTGGTCTCTCTCTGGTCTCTCTGGTCTCTCTTTGGTCTCTCTCTTGTCTCTCTGAAGTCTCTCTGGTCTCTCTCTGGTCTCTCTGGTCTCTCTCTGGTCTATCTCAAGTCTCTCTGGTCTCTCTCAAGTCTCTCTGGTCTCTCTGGGTCTCCTTCTGGTCTCTCTGGTCTCTCTCTGGTCTCTCTGGTCTCTCTCAAGTCTCTCAGGTCTCTCTCTGGTCTCTCTGGTCTCTCTCTGGTCTCTCTCAAGTCTCTCAGGTCTCTCTCTGGTCTCTCTGGTCTCTCTCTGGTCTCTCTGGTCTCTCTGGTCTCTCTCAAGTCTCTCTGGTCTCTCGCTGGTCTCTCTGGTCTCTCTTTGGTCTTTCTTGTCTCTCTCTGGTCTCTCTCTTGTCTCTCTCTGGTCTCTCTGGTCTTTCCTCTGGTCTCTCTCTGGTCTCTCTCCGGTCTCTCTGGTCTCTCTGGTCTCTCTCTGGTCTCTCTGGTCTCTCTCGGTCTCTCTGGTCTCGCTCTGGTCTCTCTCCGGTCTCTCTGGTCTCTCTGGTCTCTCTCTTGTCTCTCTGGTCTCTCTGGTCTCTCTCTGGTCTCTCTCCGGTCTCGCTGGTCTCTCTCTGGTCTCTCTCTGGTCTCTCTGGTCTCTCTCTGGTCCCACAGTGGTCGTCCTTGTTGTTAATGAGGTCAGTGAAGCTCTTTCTGTTCAAACATGAATTATAGATCAGGATTGGTCTGACTCCGCTGTCACTGAGACCAGGAATCTCAGCGCACACTCAGGACACACATGGTAAAGGTGGATCGGGCACGTTTCAGATTTGAAACTTGTCCTTTTTCTGTTCAAGCCCCGTTTCTACCAGCTCTACTCTACTCTACTCTACTCTACTCTACTCTACTCTACTCTACTCTACTCTACTCTACTCTACTCTGCTCTGCTCTGCTCTGCTCTGCTCTGCTCTGCTCTGCTCTGCTCTACTCTACTCTACTCTACTCTACTCTACTCTGCTCTAGTCTACTCTACTCTACTCTACTCTATTCTACTCTACTCTACTCTACTCTACTCTATTCTACTCTACTCTACTCTACTCTACTCACTCTACTCTACTCTACTCTGCTCTACACTGCTCCAGTCTTTATTATTCGTTTTCATTCATCTTTATCAAACAGGAAAGTTCTACAGAGATTTCAGAATCTCTTTTTCAGACACGATCTGTTTTCAGAGAGAGAAGCTGATGTTCACACATTTACAGAAGTCCACTCTCATGTTTAACACCAGCTAAAGCTCAGAAGAAAAATCAGTGCTGCTTGATTACTGGACATGTTTCTGCTTTTCTCAGAAGTCTCTCCCCGAAACATGTCAGCTAATTAAGCAGCACAAGCTTTCTTCACTATTTTGTCTTATTTAAAGAACCTTCTGAGCCGGAGCTGATGAACATGTTTAAGGCACAGCAGATTTTTTTATATAGCACAGTTCAGGCGATAACATCATAAATACATCACAGAACATTAAAAAGAGTGAAGATAAAATCCTTCAGTCGTTGAAACTGTTTTTAACCTGGATTTGATCATTGTCAGAGAAGAGGCCTGTCTCACATTTTCAAGAAGACTGTTCCGGAATGTTGCTGCATGAATCCGAGACGCTGCCTCCCCATGTTCAGTCCTGACTCTGGGACCAGTGTGATCGGGGAAACCGGAGCCTCTGGAGTAATGTCATTTTTTCTCTACACACGACACATAAATATCTGAGAACAAAAAGTGATTTATTCTGTTCAAAACTGTCCAAAAAGTAAAACGGCCTCTTTCTCAGATCTTACATGTTCTGCCAACTCTGTCAGATCTAGAATCCATTTCTTTTGTTTTGTGATGATTTAGAGGCAGAGCTCTCAACATTGGTCTGATCTCTCTCTCTGCTCTCTCTCTGGTCTCTTTTTGGTCTCTCTCTCTTTGGTCTTTCTCTCTGGTATCTCTCTGGTCTCTCTTTCTGGTCTCTCTCTCTCTGGTCTTTCTCTCTGGTCTCTTTCTGGTCTCTCTCTCTCTGGTCTTTCTCTCTGGTATCTCTCTGGTCTCGCTCTCTGGTCTCTCTCTGGTCTCACTCTCTGATCTCTCTCTGGTCTCTCTCTGATCTCTCTCTGGTCTCTCTCTCTGATCTCTCTCTGCTCTTTCTGGTCTCTCTCTCAGATCTCTCTCTGGTCTGGTCTCTCTCTCTGATCTCTCTCTGGTCTCTCTCTGATCTCTCTCTGGGCTCTCTCTCTGGTCTCGCTCTCTGATCTCTCTCTGGTCTCTCTCTGGTCTGGTCTCTCTCTCTGATCTCTCTCTGGTCTCTCTCTGACCTCTCTCTCTCTCTCTCTCTGATCTCTCTCTGGTCTCTCTCTGGCCTCTCTCTCTGGTCTCTCTCTGGCCTCTCTCTCTGGTCTCTCTCTGGTCTCTCTCTGGTCTCTCTCTGGTCTCTTTTTGGCCTCTCTCTCTCTCTCTTTCTGCTATCTCAGTCTTCTTGGCTTCTATCTCAGCTCTTACAAATTCTGCCAAACCATGTCATCGCTAGAATCCATTTTCTTAGTTTTGTGGTGATTTAGCGCCCTCTCTCTCAGCGATGTGGGGGAGATGGGGGAGACGGGGGAGACTTTTGCAGCCTGACGTGATGTGGCTTGGCTGCCTCTGACTTCTTTGTTATGTAATGGTTCATTTGGAGACGGAGACTTCTGGTAAATGCCGCTGGTGCAGACGCAGGGCTCTGGGACTGGCTCTGGGAATGGCTCTGGGACTTGTTCTGGGACTGGCTCTGGGACCGGCTGTGGGACCGGCTCTGGGACCGGCTCTGGGACCGGCTCTGGGGCCGGCTTTGGGACCGGCTCTGGGACCGGCTCTGGGACCGGCTCTGGGACCGGCTCTGGGACCGGCTCTGGGACCGGCTCTAGGACTGGCTCTGGGACCGGCTCTGGGACTGGCTCTGGCTCTGGCTCTGGGACTGGCTCTGGGACTGGCTCTGGGACTGGCTCTGGGACTGGTTCTGGGACTGGCTCTGCGACTGGCTCTGGCTTTGGCTCTGGCTCTGGGGACTGGCTCTGGGACTGGCTCTGGCTCTGGGATTGGCTGTGGGACTGGCTCTGGGACTGGCTCTGGCTCTGGGGATTGGCTCTGGGAATGGCTCTGGGACTGGCTCTGGGACTGGCTCTGGGACTGGCACCAGGACACCAGCCGGTCCACCTCCCTCCTGTAGGCGGACTCATCGTTGTTGGAGATGAGTCCAATGAGGGTGGTGTCGTCCGCAAACTTCACGGAGTCGTGGCTGGAGGTGCAGTGGTTGGTGTACAGGGAGAAGAGCAGGGGAGAAAGAACACAGCCCTGTGGGGCTCCTGTATTTATAATCCGAGAGTCCGAGACATTCTTCCCCAGACGCACTCGCTGCTTCCTGTCCGTCAGGAAGTCAGTGATCCACCTGCAGGTGGAATCGGGCACGTTGAGCTGGGAGAGCTTGTCCTGGAGCAGGGATGGCAGGATTGTGTTGAAGGCAGAGCTGAAGTCCACGAACAGGACCCTGGCGTAGGTCCCCGGGGAGTCCAGGTGCTGTAGGATGTGGTGGAGGGCCAGGTTAATGGCGTCGTCTACAGATCTGTTGGCTCTGTAGGCGAACTGCAGGGGGTCCAGGAGGGGGGAGGTGAAGGACTTGAGATGGGAGAGGACCAGGCGTTCAAATGACTTCATGACGACAGACGTAAGTGCTACAGGTCTGTAGTCATTGAGTCCTGTGATCCTGGGCTTCTTCGGGACGGGGACAATGATGGAGGATTTGAAGCAGGCCGGGACATGGCAGGACTGCAGAGAGGTGTTGAAAATGTCCGTGAACACAGGAGTAAGCTCACTGGAGCAGTGTCTCAGAGTGGCCGGAGACACGTGGTCCGGGCCAGGAGCTTGCGGGGGTGCAGCCTCAGGAAGAGTTGTTTAATCTCTTTAGCGGCTATTGTTAGGCTGGGGGCAGGGCTGATGGGTGGGTCGTTAGAGTAGTGGGGGGTGGGGGAGGGAGAGGTGTCAGGGGCAGCATCAAAGCGACTGAAAAATAAGTTCAGTTCGTCAGCTAGCTTGTGGTCGTCAGCACAGGGGGGGGCTTTGGGTTTGTAGTTGGTGATCTCCCGTAGGCCCCTCCAGACAGAAGCAGTATCGTTGTTACCAAACTGCTCCTGTAGTCGTTCTCTGTGCCGGGACTTGGCTGCTTTTAGTTCGTTCCTGAACTAATATTTTGCTGCTTTGTAGCCGCTGCGGTCCCCCTCCCTGAAAGCAGACTCCTTTGCTTTCCTGAGCTGCCGGAGTTTAGCAGTGAACCAGGGTTTGTCGTTGTTATAGATGACCCTGGTCCTTGTTGGAATGATGCTATCGTCACAGAAGTGAATGTATGACGTCACAGTGTCCGTGTATTCATCCAAACTATCTGTGGCAGCTCTGAAAAGGTCCCAGTCTGTAGATTCCATGCATGTGTGAGATTTCATAACACTTTGAAGCAACTTTTGTTAAAGTTAAACTCATCATTCTATCAATGTGCAGAAGCCAGTACTTTTCCCTTGTTTTGTCTATCTGAAGGCCAAGCTACATGGCACCGTGGCAGCTGCTGATTGGAGGTCTCCATGCCTCCGCTCTGTATAATACACTTGCATTCTATTGTTCGTGTTGTACTTGCTGTCTCTACCATCGACAATAAAACATGTCTTCTGTCTGAATGAAAGACGCGATCCCAGACTTTGTCATCTTCTTCAGGTGGTGGAGGATGCGGGCCTTGTCTGTAACATCTAGAGAACAGAAGACTACTTTTTTTTACACAAAAAGTGTTTTTTTTTTTTCAAGCCAAAACTGAGAAACCTCAAGAGAATGCATCTGGATCAGCACTTGGACAATCTGCACAGCCCCTGATTCCAGTCAGGCTGTGAGCTGCTGAGACATGGACAACACTATCGTCCTCTTTTGCATGGACACCATTTGGAACAATTGGATTACACAATTTGGACATAATTTGAACTGAATTGAATTGCTGAATCTGGACACTGAAGCTGAAACGTGTGATTGAAAGACACGTCACAGAAGAATTCATGGCTCGACACAAATGCAGCCTGAAGAAATCAACACAGAGAAGTGGGAGAGACTGTTTTCAAAGCAATATCTGGAACCACCATCGACTGATGAAGTTTGGTATTTTACTGAAGATTGTTGACAAGTTTTATGAAAGATCTGAACATGTTTTATGAGTTTTTGAAGTATTCCGAGTTATGAGTTTTTTGAAGTACCGAGTGAAGTACCAAGTTTATGAGTTTTTGAAGTACCGAGTTTAAGTATTGAGTTATGATGTTATGTTGCTGTTTATCGATCCTGATGGTCACACGTGAATGTATGACCAGAGGGGGGAATGTGAGATTTCATAACACTTTGAAGCAACTTTTGTTAAAGTTAAACAAATCATTCTATCAATGTGCAGAAGCCTGTACTTTTCCCTTGTTTTGTCTATCTGAAGGCCAAGCTACATGGCACTGTGGCAGCTGCTGATTGGAGGTCTCCATGCCTCCGCTCTGTATAATACACTTGCATTCTGTTGTTCGTGTTGTTCGTGCTGTCGCTACCATCGACAATAAAACATGTCTTCTGTCTGAATGAAAGACGCGATCCCAGACTTTGTCATCTTCTTCACATGCACGCAGCTCTTCCACAGCTTCATCAGACCACACTTTGGAGCTCCTCACTGCAGGTTTCGAGAGCTTTAGTCTCTGTCTGTAAGCAGGAACCAGATGTATCATGGAGTGATCTGAGAAGCCAAGGGCTGGCTTGGGAACAGCGCGAAAAGCTCCGCGCACGGTGGTGTAACAGTGATCCAGAGTGTTCTCCTCTCTGGTCGGGCATTTGATAAACTGTCTGTATTTGGGTAATTCCTGGCTCAAGTTTCCCTTATTAAAATCCCCCAGGATAATAATCAGAGAGTCCGGGTATAAACGTTCCATACACAGTACTTGCTCTGCGAGTGCGCGCTGAAAACCAGGGTCGGATGTTCATAAGTTCCTCACGGGTGAAGGAACAGCCAGATGCACGGTTGAAAAGTAAAAACAAAAGAAACCGAAAAGCCGTGGCGACCGTGCGAGGCGCCATCTTAAGTTTAAGTTTAAAACCAGGTTAAAGACAGTTCTGTTTAGCTGTGCTACAACTGAGGGATTTTATATTTGTATCTGTCTTAATGTACTGTGATTACTTATAATTTTAATGTAATTTTGCTATCTTGTTTTGTTCAGCACTTGCCTTGCCCTACTCACAACGACTGTGATAAAAGATATGATTTAAATATACAGTATGTGATAAAATATATGACATTTTTAACCATTCTTGTGGTGTTAATATTGCTATTATTATTATTATTCATCTTTATTAAGGACACAATACAGTCCATTCTTGTGTATCCATGTTGTTTGGAACGACTTTGCATTCTTGAGTAAATACAATCATTATTAAGTTTAAGGGGCGACAGTGGCTCAGTTGGTAGAGCATTGGTCTTTGAGCCTGAAGGTCGTGGGTTCAGGACTGACGCTGTAGATCCAGGACTGAGGCTGTAAATCCAGGACTGAGGCTGTAAATCCAGGACTGAGGCTGTAGACCCAGGACTGAGGCTGTAGACCCAGGACTGAGGCTGTAGATCCAGGACTGAGGCTCTAGATCCAGGACTGAGGCTGTAGACCCAGGACTGAGGCTGTAAATCCAGGACTGAGGCTGTAGATCCAGGACTGAGGCTGTAGACCCAGGACTGAGGCTGTAGACCCAGGACTGAGGCTGTAGACCCAGGACTGAGGCTGTAGATCCAGGACTGAGGCTGTAGATCCAGGACTGAGGCTGTAGATCCAGGACTGAGGCTGTAGACCCAGGACTGAGGCTGTAGACCCAGGACTGAGGCTGTAGACCCAGGACTGAGGTTGTAGACCCAGGACTGAGGCTGAGGCTGATTCTACATTTCTTTGTTGCTGTTACACAAGAGCCTCTGTTACATCAGAGAGAGATGAATGTGTTTTACCCCAGAGCACATCAGCTGACTGCAGCACAGAGAGAGGAGGAGAGAGGAGGAGGGAGAGGAGGAGAGAGGGGGAGAGAGGAGAGAGAGGAGAGGAGGCAGAGAGGGAGAGAGAGGAGAGAGTGGAGAAGAGAGGAGACCCAGAGGAGAAGAGAGAGGAGGAGACTGGGGTTTATGTCTCTGTGAAAAGGGACAATTTTAGTTATTTTAAGAAAATGAATGACACTTCCCAGTTTGTACACACTCATTATTTCCGCTCTGTGTGTTTTGTTTGGTTCTTATGCTGTTTTCTCACTGGTCTCTCTGGTTTCTCTCTAGTCTCTCTCTGGTCTCTCTCTAGTCTCTCTCTGGTCTCTCTCTGGTCTCTCTCTGGTCTCTCTCTCTCTGGTCTCTCACTGGTCTTTCTGGTCTCTCTCTAGTCTCTCTCTGGTCTCTCTCTCTGGTCTTTCTGGTCTCTCTCTCTCTGGTCTCTCTCTCTGGTCTTGGTCTCTCTCTGGTCTCTCTCTCTGGTCTCGCTGTAGTCTATCTCTAGTCTCTCTCTCTCTGGTCTTTCTGGTCTCTCTTTCTGGTTATTCTGGTCTCTCTCTCTGGTCTTGGTCTCTCTCTGGTCTCTCTCTCTGGTCTCGCTGTAGTCTCTCTCTAGTCTCTCTCTCTCTGGTCTTTCTGGTCTCTCTTTCTGGTCTCTCTCTCTGGTCTTTCTCTGCAGCTGTGAGCACTTTGCCAAAGACAAACACATTCATATTTTGATTAATGACAATATAAACTCGAGGGATTAGAATTCTGTCTAAAATTAGAGTTTCATTATAATTGAGATTGAGTCATTTCTGAGTTTTGTTTTTGTTGCAGTTCCTTCACTTCCACTGGAGGGAAAGAATGTGAACCAGAGATCAGACTTTAGAGAATTTATTAGAAATTAAAACTCTGCTTTTCTGATATTGACTGTGACAAAACTCAGCAGCAGGACTTTTCTGTCTGTAACAGAAGAGAGCACATCACCCCTGTGTTAGCGTCCCTCCACTGGCTCGGGCCGGTCCCCTACTGAACCCTGCAGCCTCAGCTCGGGCCGGCCCTGAACCCAGCAGCCTCAGCTCAGGCTGGTCCCCTCCTGAACCCTGCAGCCTCAGCTCGGGCCGGTCCCCCCCTGAACCCTGCAGCCTCAGCTCAGGCTGGTCCCCTCCTGAACCCTGCAGCCCCAGCTCAGGCCGGTCCTGAACCCTGCAGCCCCAGCTCAGGCCTGTCCTGAACCCTGCAGCCTCAGCTCATGCCGGTCCCCTCCTGAACCCTGCAGCCTCAGCTCAGGCCTGTCCTGAACCCTGCAGCCTCAGCTCATGCCGGTCCCCTCCTGAACCCTGCAGCCTCAGCTCAGGCCGTCCTGAACCCTGCAGCCTCAGCTCGGGCCGGTCCCCTCCTGAACCCAGCAGCCTCAGCTCAGGCTGGTCCCCTCCTGAACCCTGCAGCCTCAGCTCGGGCCGGTCCCCCCCTGAACCCTGCAGCCTCAGCTCGGGCCGGTCCCCCCCTGAACCCTGCAGCCTCAGCTCAGGCCGGTCCTGAACCCTGCAGCCCCAGCTCAGGCCTGTCCTGAACCCTACAGCCTCAGCTCATGCCGGTCCCCTCCTGAACCCTGCAGCCTCAGCTCGGGCCGGTCCCCACCTGAACCCTGCAGCCTCAGCTCAGGCCGTCCTGAACCCTGCAGCCTCAGCTCAGGCCGGTCCTGAACCCTGCAGCCTCAGCTCGGGCCGGTCCCCTCCTGAACCCTGCAGCCTCAGCTCGGGCCGGTCCTGAACCCCGCACCCTCAGCTCGGGCCGGTCCCCTCCTGAACCCAGCAGCCTCAGCTCAGGCTGGTCCCCTCCTGAACCCTGCAGCCTCAGCTCGGGCCGGTCCCCCCCTGAACCCTGCAGCCTCAGCTCATGCCAGTCCTGAACCCTGCAGCCCCAGCTCAGGCCTGTCCTGAACCCTGCAGCCTCAGCTCATGCCGGTCCCCTCCTGAACCCTGCAGCCTCAGCTCGGGCCGGTCCCCTCCTGAACCCTGCAGCCTCAGCTCGGGCCGGTCCCCTCCTGAACCTTGCAGCCTCAGCTCAGGCCGTCCTGAACCCTGCAGCCTCAGCTCAGGCCGGTCCTGAACCCTGCAGCCTCAGCTCGGGCCGGTTCCCTCCTGAACCCTGCAGCCTCAGCTCAGGCCGGTCCTGAACCTGCAGCCTCAGCTCAGGCCGGTCCCCTCCTGAACCCAGCAGCCTCAGCTCAGGCTGGTCCCCTCCTGTACACCCTGCAGCCTCAGCTCGGGCCGGTCCCCCCCTGAACCCTGCAGCCTCAGCTCAGGCCGGTCCTGAACCCCGCAGCCTCAGCTCAGGCCTGTCCTGAACCCTGCAGCCTCAGCTCATGCCGGTCCCCTCCTGAACCCTGCAGCCTCAGCTCAGGCCGGTCCCCTCCTGAACCCTGCAGCCTCAGCTCAGGCCGGTCCCCTCCTGAACCCTGCAGCCTCAGCTCAGGCTGGTCCCCTCCTGAACCCTGCAGCCTCAGCTCAGGCTGGTCCCCTCCTGAACCCTGCAGCCTCAGCTCGGGCCGGTCCCCCCCTGAACCCTGCAGCCTCAGCTCAGGCCGGTCCTGAACCCTGCAGCCTCAGCTCAGGCCGGTCCTGAACCCTGCAGCCTCAGCTCAGGCCGGTCCCCTCCTGAACCCTGCAGCCTCAGCTCATGCCGGTCCCCTCCTGAACCCTGCAGCCTCAGCTCGGGCCGGTCCCCTCCTGAACCCTGCAGCCTCAGCTCATGCCGGTCCCCTCCTGAACCCTGCAGCCTCAGCTCGGGCCGGTCCCCTCCTGAACCCTGCAGCCTCAGCTCATGCCGGTCCCCTCCTGAACCTTGCAGCCTCAGCTCATGCCGGTCCCCTCCTGAACCCTGCAGCCTCAGCTCGGGCCGGTCCCCTCCTGAACCCTGCAGCCTCAGCTCGGGCCGGTCCCCTCCTGAACCCTGCAGCCTCAGCTCGGGCCGGTCCCCTCCTGAACCCTGCAGCCTCAGCTCGGGCCGGTCCCCTCCTGAACCCTGCAGCCTCAGCTCGGGCCGGTGCCTGTGGTCGTCCCAGGGTCGAGGCCCCTCAGCTCCGTCAGTGATCTTGTTGTGTGCCATTCTGTCTGCTTCTATTTCACAACAATCATGATAGAAAATACAATGGGTTTTTTCTCATTATATTCTATCATTTGTGAACATTCTACAACATGTCTCACATTGATCAACATTCATGGACATTGGTCTCTCCCTTTGGTCCAATACCATGTGTTCTCTCCCTTTGGTCCAATACCATGTGTTCTCTCCCTATGGTCCAATACCATGTGTTCTCTCCCTATGGTCCAATACCATGTGTTCTCTCCCTATGGTCCAATACTATGTGTTCATTCTTTTTGTGTCTTAACTGTTGATTCTCTGATCTGTGTTGGTGATTTCAACGGTTTTGTTAAAGGAATAGGCCCCGTGTTTACATACTGACATATGTTCTTACCTTACTTTATTAGACTAGTTGATATGTACCTGCTCTGTCATGCAAACGCAGCACAAACACAGCCTCTTCCACAGACTGTATAGTTCCAAATCAGCTCCTGTTAGAAGCTCCCAAACTCTTCCATGTGTTCCCTATTTAAATACAGTTATGTGACGTGTTACTCTACAAAGTATAGTAACACAGAAATGTAACATGGCCATTTTCTCAGAGGATAAAAAGGGGAACTATATTGTGAGGCGTAATAATACGAGGAGCGCTTCGTCCGCGCACTAACTCTAAAGACTTCTCTCCCGCTCATGCTGCTTCTATCGATTGAAGTGAGCGGGAGATAGGACTTAATGCGCGGACGAAGCGCTCCTCGTACAAGAAGGGCCAAAGTCGCCTCTACCTTCTGAGGAGGCTGAGGTCCTTCTGAGGAGGCTGAGGTCCTTCTGAGGAGGCTGAGGTCCATCTGAGGAGGCTGAGGTCCTTCTGAGGAGGCTGAGGTCCTTCTGAGGAGGCTGAGGTCCATCTGAGGAGGCTGAGGTCCTTCTGAGGAGGCTGAGGTCCATCTGAGGAGGCTGAGGTCCTTCTGAGGAGGCTGAGGTCCTTCTGAGGAGGCTGAGGTCCATCTGAGGAGGCTGAGGTCCTTTTGAGGAGGCTGAGGTCCTTCTGAGGAGGCTGAGGTCCATCTGAGGAGGCTGAGGTCCTTCTGAGGAGGCTGAGGTCCATCTGAGGAGGCTGAGGTCCTTCTGAGGAGGCTGAGGTCCTTCTGAGGAGGCTGAGGTCCATCTGAGGAGGCTGAGGTCCTTCTGAGGAGGCTGAGGTCCTTCTGAGGAGGTTGAGGTCCTTCTGAGGAGGCTGAGGTCCATCTGAGGAGGCTGAGGTCCTTCTGAGGAGGCTGAGGTCCTTCTGAGGAGGCTGAGGTCCATCTGAGGAGGCTGAGGTCCTTCTGAGGAGGCTGAGGTCCATCTGAGGAGGCTGAGGTCCTTCTGAGGAGGCTGAGGTCCTTCTGAGGAGGCTGAGGTCCATCTGAGGAGGCTGAGGTCCTTCTGAGGAGGCTGAGGTCCATCTGAGGAGGCTGAGGTCCTTCTGAGGAGGCTGAGATCCATCTGAGGAGGCTGAGGTCCTTCTGAGGAGGCTGAGGTCCTTCTGAGGAGGCTGAGGTCCATCTGAGGAGGTTGAGGTCCTTCTGAGGAGACTGAGGTCCTTAGGAGTGACTCTGTGGTAGCCTCTGCCATACACTGCGCTGCCGTGTGCTGGGCCCCGGGCAGCACAGAGCGGGACAGGAGCAGACTGAACAAGCTGGTCAGGAGGAGGTGAGGGACAGGAGGCCCCTGGACTCTGTGGAGGAGGTGAGGGACAGGAGGCCCCTGGACTCTGTGGAGGAGGTGAGGGACAGGAGGCCCCTGGACTCTGTGGAGGAGGTGAGGGACAGGAGGTGCTAGTCAAAGTCAAAAGTAATTTTTATGTAAAGGCCCAACTAGGGACGGACATTGAGAATTAGCTTTGGCTAAAATGTTGTAGTATGTAACATGAGCTTATGTGACATACTTGTCCCTATTCAAATAAACTTAAATAAATAAATAAATAAATAAAAGTTACCTCCATCATGGACAACACCTCCCACTGCACAGGACTGAGGAGGAGCTGAGGAGCTCCTTCAGTGGAAGAAGGAGCAGGGCCTTTGTCCCCACCGCTGTCAGACTGTACAACAAGTCACTTTAAGTCACTTGCATTAGGACTGAAAAACCTGCACTAATATTGACAGTTTCTTTAATTGCCACTTTTTATTGTACATAATTTATCCTGCATTTAACATGTTTACTCACGTCTTTCTTTTGCACAATCTGAGTGTTTCTATCTGTGCCAGATGTGACATTTCTCCATCAGAGATCAACAAAGTCTATCTGATCTTATCTTACATGACAGTAATGGCCTCCCTCTCTCCTTAATCCCAGTGTCTCCTTTGACCTCTGACACTGGTCAATGTCAAGCCTTTTGCAGCGGGTCCATTAGATCAGTGACGACCAGGTCACGTGGGCAATTAGCTTCATTAGCAGCTCCTCCATCTGCGAAGGACGAGCTTTAGACACGTCATTCTAACCACCGCCTTTGATCAGCTGAAACTATCTCCACGTCATAGTCTGAACCTTTCTGTCTCTCTCTCTCTGTGTATGTGTGTCTCTCTGTGTGTATGTGTCTCTCTCTCTCTCTCTCTCTCTCTCTCTCTCTCTCTCTCTCTCTCTCTCTCTCTCTCTCTCTCTCTCTCTCTCTCTCTCTGTCTCTCTCTGTCTCTTCTCTCTCTCTCTCTCACTCACTCACTCTAATCGTCGCGGGCGGGATTACGCACAGCCGCCTCCCTCCGTGCGCGTAACCTAAGCGGCTGAACAAATCCACCACCAACAAAAACAACCGGTTGGTCACATGACGCGGCAGCCTCTCTCCTGCCGCTTCCCCCGCGTTGTGTTTCCGTGTTCCTCTCTGGATGTTCCTCTCTGGATGCCTGCTCTGGCTCCCGCACTCCTCCAAAAACCACCGCGTCACCGCTCCACCTGCGCCCGCTCTTTACGCACGGGCCGCCGGGTGAAGAGGGACCATGCTCACCCGGGTCAAGTCTGCGGTGGTGAACCTCATGGGGGGGGTGCTGTCTGGGGGAGCCAACGGGGACCATCCGAGTGGAGCATCCGACCTGCCGCTGCGGTTCCCCTACAGGAGACCCGAGTTCCTGGGTCTCTCCGCGGATGAGGTGGAGTGCTCTGCGGACCACGGAGCCAGACCGATCCTCATCCTGAAGGAGACCGAGCGCCTGCCCTGGTCCACCGGCTACGCGGAGTGAGTATGGCCGGTGTGTTTCATGTTGTTTGGGCCAGAGCAGAGCATCCTCTTCTCATTCGCATGTCTTTGTTATTGTTGTGGCTGTGGCTGCTTCTATGTGCCGTGAATATGTAATGGAGATTGGCTTCTTCACCACAGAGAGCTACAGGTGGAATGTCGCATCTCTGGTTTTAAAGCTGGGGTATCTGACTTTTACCTTCTTAAATGATACGTGTTGTTTTTCCTTATAGAAAGAAGTTGACAAATCAGATCTATAGGGCTGCCTTTATGTTATTAGAAAACATGTTATTTTGTGCACGGTTTTGATGCTGAAGGGTGAGAGCTGATTGGCTGAGAGGGGGTGGTCCTCTCTTTTTCACTTTACTGTCTGAAAAAGCTGATCTGAAGATGTGGCAGAGGCTGAAAATGCATTCCCGGGGAAACTAATAGCCTCAGTCCTGGGTCTACAGCCTCAGTCCTGGATCTACAGCCTCAGTCCTGGATCTACAGCCTCAGTCCTGGGTCTACAGCCTCAGTCCTGGATCTACAGCCTCAGTCCTGGGTCTACAGCCTCAGTCCTGGATCTACAGCCTCAGTCCTGGATCTACAGCCTCAGTCCTGGATCTACAGCCTCAGTCCAGTTAGATGGACACACAGATGAATATTTTCTGGTTTGAAAGTAAAGTACCAGTTTTAATGTAGTATCGTGCTCGGTCCTTGTTTTATGAATTAAACACAAACATTTTATTAGTTTAATCCAATAATCAGTGACTCCAACCTGGAACAGACTTGATCCGTTTGTTACATCCAAGGCTCTCTCTGTGACATTTGTAGATTGTAAACGATACAAAATATGAAAACTGAACATTGTTTCCTCATTTGAGCAGAAATGTTGAGTCTTTGTGAAAATCCTGTTTTATTTTGTGGATTTGGAGAATGTTGTGATTAGTGCATATTCAGTTAAAAACACCAATACTTAAGTTCTTACATTTATCATTCTATTTCCTCTACGGCTGGGAATTGGCAAAAATGTGAAGATTCGAAAGTGTTTGGGCCACAGTTAAATATTATTGTGATTCTTAACATATTGCGATACAGACAGTATTGTGATGCGATTCTGTGATATATTGTGATTTAACAAACATGGAGGGAATATGTTTGCAAATATCACATGTATTATGTTCTGTACATGATCTGTAGCAAACACTGAGAAGGGAAGTGCAAAACGTGATCCTTGCAATACTCTGCTATATATATCATTTTAATTGTGTGCGCAAAATATTGAAATACTACTCATATCTGGATTCACAAAGACAATATCACGATGTAAACACCAGGACCACAGAGAGCGATAAACCACAGATTTAAGCACAAACAGTTTCTGAGCTCCAGGAGTTTACTTTTACATTGAAGCCAGAGAGAGATGGAGCAAAACTTCATCCATGAGCACTTCCCTATGGGGCTTCAATGAGCTAGCGGGTTAGCTTTGTTCATCTGTTTACACCAAGCCCCGGTGATCCAAGATGGCGTCCTATTCAAATGAATGGCTTGTGCTCAGTAGGACATGGGACTTCATAGAGACCGAAAGATTAGCGGAACTCGTCCATATTTGGGCATCGTCTGATCCTCCTGGTTCTGTGCAGTGAACGAGCTCCCATGATGCTTTGCGCCATGTGTGCACAGAGGGACTCGGCCGTGCTTTGACCAATCAGAGCTGCTGATCTGAGCGGAGTGAGAGCGGGAAGAAAATGAGCAGTTTGTTGCATTAAAGTGTGGATGTATAAAAGTGTAGAAAACAAAAAGATTTAAGAAGAAGAAAAGTTCAGGACGACTAGAGACACTTAAAATCCCCACAAAATCCAACCTTTATGAAAGCTGTAGGTTCTCTGTCAGGTTCTCTGTCAGCTGAGGTCGAGCTGTTTTAGTTTACATTGAGTTCTGTGGGACTTTTTTCTGGGTAGCCCACGTGAACTTAGTCTGCAGTACCACAGCGCCCCCTGTGGCCATGGGTGGAACAGCTATAAGCTAGTAATACCCTATCCAGTTATTATTATAGATCCATGGTATACAGTCTATGTTAGCATTGTCCATCTTTTTACAGTCTGTGCTTCAAAGTCAAAGAGCTGCACGTCCTGTTCCATTGCGCTGCCAAAAGGTGCATTCAAATATTTCAGGAGTTGTCGTGGCGATATTCAAATAGTGCTAACTTTGACCTAAATCCAGCTCTTGTCTGTCGAGAGCTGCTGCACAAACAGACCACTCCCTGTTCACGACGTAAAGAATATTCTGCAGGAGACACAGGTGGAACTAGGGGTGGGCGATATGGCCTAAAATTCATATCGCGGTATGATTTGGGTCACAGACGGTAGACGGTATACATCACGGTATAATTTGGTGTGTGAATTTCAATATAGGTTTAGCAGGTTCTTGCATAAAATAGTCAAGATTGTTACTTATCTATACATTAGAATCTGATATATATTTTTTGAGTTTGAAAATCAGGTCAGAGACAAATGCTGTAACATACATTATTTATGTATGTTACAGTAAAGACCATTAACTGTGAAAGCAATTTTAAATAATATTAAAATATATTATATAATATCTGTAGCAGTTAGACATGGTCATTATTTATAGTGTCAGAGTTTAGTGCGTATGCATGGCTTCAGTAAAAGCTATTGTTCGTTTACAAAGCTAGTCTTGCCATTTGTTGACGCTCCCTAAGCGCTTGCTGTGAACTGGATGATTCAATGGATTTATCTGCATTAAAACAGCGCATTTGATTTGAACAACTGATGTAAATGCTCATTTTGGCACAATTAATTTTGTTTAACAAAGTAGCTTTCGTGATCTATTGCCCGCTGAAGTCTGAATCGGACGCTAACTTTACAAAACTTCTGAGATGATGCGGACACGGCACAAGCATGGATCTATTTCGGCTCACGATGGCGCTTCGAGCCTACGCCCCTTTGACACTCATTGGCCGAAAGGTAGAAGGTAAACTGTGATTGCTGTGTGTGTATTTACCTCCGCTGGGGCCGCTGTGACCAATACAGAGACAGAAACACGGTGTGAAAGCCGTGCTGTTGTTTCCAGTGGTGTCTGCTAGGCTAATGTGCTAGGCTAATGCTGCTGAATGCCGGTTTGTTTTGGTCCTTTCTGCTGGCGTCAGAGCCTGCGCAATTTGATGACATAATGACCTATCGCAATATGCCGGTATAACAAAAATCTCTACCGTGGGCCAAATTTATACCGCATACCGCTTATACCGTTTATACCGCCCAGCCCTAGGTGGAACAAGCCCTAAATCACAGTAACAGTAGTTATCTGGAAGGACTTTACACCAACACAGATCCAAAACAGGAAGTGCAATGAGACAGGTTAGCTTGACTCTTCTGATGTTGTCGCAATAGTAATCCCTGCAGTAGTAATCCAAACACACACCAAAGTCAAATATTTACTGTGTGTTTTGAGTTTGCTTTGGTACCGTTGTTCTCCTGATAACTACTTGTCACTCTAAAGCCTAGAGTATACTTGCGCGGCGTGGCTTACGTTAGCGGTTGCGGTGGACCTACGTAAGCACAATTGATGTTATACTGGCGCGTTCCCCTTACGGAGTTTTGAGGAGAATGTTGTAATCCCACAACAAACCACATGAGGGCGATCACACAGGAGCGGTCCCATTTACGCTGCTACTTTGTCCTCTTCAGAACAACAATAACAAACAAAGCTGTTTGAGTTCATTACGTGTTTCTACTGTTGGTTTATGTGATAGTTTTATGGATTCATTATTTTATAAGTCATTTCAACTGTGATGCTGTGAATAAAGACACAGTTCTGTTGGAAACAGTTATTATTAAATAGTTTTCAGCACAAACAGCAAAACAATAATAGTGGTAAATATCTGAGACAAACATGAACGATTTACGAGTGTATATATGTTAGATATAAGTTATATATATGTTAGATATAAGTTATATATATGTTAGATATAAGTTATATACATGTTAGATATAAGTTATATACATGTTAGATATAAGTTATATATATGTTAGATATAAGTTATATATATGTTAGATATAAGTTATATATATGTTAGATATAAGTTATATATATGTTAGATATAAGTTATATATATATGTTAGATATAAGTTATATATATGTTAGATATAAGTTATATATATGTTAGATATAAGTTATATATATGTTAGATATAAGTTATATATATGTTAGATATAAGTTATAAATATGTTAGATATAAGTTATATATATGTTAGATATAAGTTATATATATGTTAGATATAAGTTATATATATGTTATATAGTCCACAGTCTGCTCCATAGTGCCTCGTCCATGTCTCTGCTGCAGCCGCTTCATGCTTCCTTCCAATACACACACACGGACCAATCACAGCGGAGCTTCCTTGCGGCGACCTTTACGTAGTTAGAAAATTTCGATGCTGCGCGGCAGGCGACGTAAGGGCCTTGCGGTGACCAACGCGTTGCGCAAGCGACGTCACGTCACCTCCGTAAGCTCCGCGCAAGTATAAACTAGGCTTAAATCTATGGGGATTATTTAATTCAATTCAATGTATTTATTTTTGGGACGCACCAGCTGAAAATCGGTATTGACCCATGTTTGCCTTGTTAAAGGAATAGGCCACTGTGTTTACATACTGACATATGTTCTTACCTTACTTTATTAGACTAGTTGATATGTACCTGCTCTGTCATGCAAACGCAGCACAAACACAGCCTCTTCCACAGACTGTATAGTACCAAATCAGCTCCTGTTAGAAGCTCCCAAACTCTTCCACGTGTTCCCTATTTAAATACAGTTATGTGACGTGTTACTCTACAAAGTATAGTAACACAGAAATGTAACATGTTCATTTTCTCAGCGGATAAAAAGAGGAACTATATTGTGAGGCGTAATAATACGAGGAGCGCTACGTCCGCCCACTAACTCATAAAGACTTCTCTCCCGCTCACTTCCGTCAATAGAAGCAGCGTAAGTA